TCTTCTTCTCCTGGTGTGCCATCTAAAACGGCTTTGTTTCACACGACTAGTACAGTATTTTGGACTCTGGGTGCTGGGTTGCAAAATCGATGTGGCCAATAAGTTGCAAGTGACCATTTTGAAACATGATGGGTTTTTAGGGGGGAAATGACACGGGTTTAAAAATGGAGACTAAAAAGCTTCAGATGGTTTATCCAGTGCAGTAATATTGACCCGTGTTGGTCCAATATTGCTGGGTACAGTAATACTGATGAAAAGAATTGGACTGGGGATTACTTTTCCAACGCTAATATAGAAACGCTTAATGTCAGTCGCCGGCTAAGCTAAAATGGTCACCAGTGTCATGTGACCGTCCCCGGAAGGTGGCTTTTTTTGCTCTTGGATGTCTGCAGCTGTAACCTTGAAGGATGCGATTTCATCTGTCACTTATTCTCCCCTCCCCATCTAGACTGTGTCAGGATAAACTGTAACACCAGTAAGTCAACATTCTTCTTCTGCAGCCTTCTTCCTTCAGTCAATGTTTGATTGTAGCCTGTGTGCAGGGATGTGTGAATGCAGGGGACTGAAAAGAGGATTTCTCAGATAAAAGGGGGGTATAGCCAAAGTTCAAAGCTATGCAAATCAGACTTAATGTACTCTATATATGTTAAATGGCCCATGTTTCCAATTTAATTCAGACACTAGTTGTAAATGGGGTTTTTTGTCGGTTTGTATCTACTCGTCTTTTGCACTTTCAGACTTTGTGGGCTGTATTGTTTCTCAATTACCCCGTAATAGATTGCAGCGTCTCTTTTTCCTGTTCTTCTTATTTAACACATACTGCAGAATATGGGTTTATAATGTGAAGTACAGCTGGTGTCAGAAGTCATGCTGTTATTCATTAAAAGGACCAATAGTTTCAAAGTGCTCACAGTCTTGTAGAAAGGACAAAAGACAGAACACAAAGAGTCCTTCAGCTGTGTGTGTGTGTGTGTGTGTGTGTGTGTCTGTACTGAAGTGCTACATTGTAGATGCCCTTTACGTTGATAGCTGCAGCTGTATATGTAGTTCTTATTATAGTAAATAGTGAATATAATGAAGCATTGTTAGGTTTGTGCATTTATGATCAGATATGTTCAGGATATAAAAGCACCAATTGAAATTTGGATTGAACTAGCAGCCACAATGCAGCAGACTCTGCTCTGAAGCCGCTCCGGCCTCTTCATCGGCTCGATGGGGCTGCAGTGCCCTCTCGTGGTTACTTGGATGAATTACTTTAAACTAAAGCGCTCAATTAAAAGTCACAATAAAAAGTGTAAATTTAAAAATCATTAAACACTAGAAAAACACAGTCTTTGTATGAGTAACAGCATCGCTGCCAGTTTGAAGAACTTTTTCCTCTGCTGTGAAAAACAAAGCAGATTTTTCTTTTTCGTTTGAGCACCTCTAATCTCACTTAAAGCTCAGATGGAGGAGATGTTATCTGTATGTCGCGAGGACGAATGCTTGATTTGAAATTGAATTACTTTATTTATGAAAACAGAGATTTGGTTTATGCTTGTGCCATCCCCGCTGTCCCTTCACTAACTAACCCTCATCTTCAGGCAAAGGCCCTGAGGTTCTTTATGCTGGACAAAAGCTCAACGACAATGAGTGGCACTCAGTGCGAGTGGTCCGCCGCGGTAAAAACTTCAAACTCACTGTGGATGACGACATGGCGGAAGGTAACGCTCTTGTAATGCATTTCTTTATTGTTTTGTTGAGATATACCAAACGTACATCATCTCGCATCTTTTTTCTTTGTTTCCTGGGCTGAATAATGTGCTTTTATTTCTACTTTCATGAACAGTTTACATAGAAATTACACATAGTGTGAAGAATTATGCCTTTCTTCACTGGAAAAGGCATGCATGTGGCATTTATTCCTAGTATTACTCATCCAAAACATTGCAAATTATGAATATCCTGGAAGTAAGTTGTGCTGGGTATGAGAGTTTTTTCATTTTGTTCCACTGGCATTCATTATCCACACAACCAGGGCGTCTCGCTTCCTGCTGCTGGGTCATTCCCTTTGCCTCTTTTTCCTTTCTCTTCTCTCCCAGGTCAGATGGCGGGTGATCACACTCGTCTCGAGTTCAACAACGTGGAGACGGGGATCTTGACTGAGAGACGCTTTGTTTCATCTGCTCCTTCACCATTTATTGGTCATCTGCAGGTATTAAGAGCTTATTAGAAGCTCATGTCCTGTAGTATTCATTATATAATTCAAAGTCAGCAGTGGCATGTATCTGTGAGAGGAAATCAAGCATAGCTTGCAGGCTGATAGCAGATGATTTAGCTCAGCGGTCCCCAA